GTGAAATCCAGCTGCTTCTCCTGATCCAGGCGATGACCCTGGTCCCATCAAACAGGATTCCCCAGACTCAGTGACTCGGGACCTGGGAGACATTTGAGGAACTGAGAGACAGAGAATAAAAGAGACTCTAGAGGGGAAGGATCCCTGGTCCCACTCCCCAGAGCCAGCCAGTGCCCCACCCTGGAGCAGATTGGAGCCAGGGCCCTCTACAGGGGAAAGGCCTTGTGCCCCATTCCCTTGATCCCCAGCCAGTCCCCCTGCAGTGGGGCCGGAAGCCGGCTGTCCCTGGGAGCAGGCCTCTGTCTGTGACAATCTCTCGCTTGTGTCGATGGCACCGAGATCTCCAGCCATTGGAACCGGCTTCTGCAAGACATTCTAGGGCCAGATTCACATGCTGACTTCCCCTTCCTGTCTTGAAATCTCACATCTCGCCACAGCCCTCGCCCTGACACTCGCGCCTGCTCCGTCCCAGGCAGATCTTCACATGCACCCGGCTCTTCAAATTGGAGTCAGGATTCGCTAGCTGTCCTAACCGGGCACCTGCTGTTCCAATGCACTGTTCCCAGACACCCCACCCGGAGGCGGACGCATCTCAGCTCCGGGTGAGCAACCTCTGGACAGTGTCGCTGTGTGGCTGTTCCCCAGCTGCCCCGCCTGGAGGTGGCTGCATCTCAGCTCGGGGTGAGTGATTAGCGTCTGCAGCATGTACAATAGGATAAGAGATGTGAGCTGCTAGAGTTCAAATATTAAAAGCAGTAATGAAGGGATAGAGCTGGGACAGGCGGCTGGGAGCCAGGACTCCTGGGTTCCATCCACGGCTCTGGGAGGAGAGTGAGATATAGAGGGCCTCGAAGCCAGGACTCCTGGGTCCTATCCCTGGCTCTGGGAGCAGAGTGAGGTGTGGAGGGGCTCAGAGCCAGGACTGCTGGATTCTATTTCCAGCCCCACAAGCAATATGCAGCCTGCCCCTGTTGCAGGGAAGCCACAGGCAGGGGCAGGCAGAGGGCGGTGAAGTCCTCAGGATGCTGGTGCTGGGGTTTCAGAGAGAGCATCTACCCCCTCCGTCTGCACTCACTTTTGCTTTCACATTCCTGTGCATGCCGCTTCCCCAGGCTCCGCGTCACAAACCCTGGGGAGTCCGGGCTGCAGGGTCGGAGAGCCAGGCACCGGGCCCCCCTCTGCAGGTCAAGGGATGAGTGGAACTAGGGTCAGGGAGGGACCTGGATGGTCGGTCATGACTGGCGTGCCCCTCAATCGCAACCCGCAGCCCCTTGCGATCCCAGCTCTCGCTCCCTTCCCCCACAACTCTGCTGGTGCCCCTCCAGCCCAGGCAGCGTCCCACCCCAGGGCTCCTCCACCATGGGGACCACACTGGAGGTGTCGGTCCCAGGGGCCACGTACAGCGGGGGGATCCCCAACTCTCATACCTCATCCTCCTTCCTGAGAACACCTGAGGGCAGCAGAGGGATGGTGGGAAATAGAACTGCCGGGGCAGTTTTGTGGGGCAGGGAGGACAGGCATTGCAGAGGGGGCAATTATAGATCCCCCAGGGGGAGCACATATGTGCCAACTTCTCTCCATCCTCCAGCTGTGCTCACCCCATTGCTCCCTATGGAGCTGTATCAGGCACAGACCCCCTGGGGTTCCCAGATACTACACGGGAGCAGGCCAGCCCCCTCTGGCAAGGGATGGTCCCATGGGGGATACAAGCTGAGGTCCACCCAAATCACTGCACCAGTGACCGGCCCCAATGCTGCAGAACTCCAGCCTTGCCCAGATGGGGAGTGAGGAGGAGGGAGTGGCCCAAACTATTCTCACAAGAGTGTGGGAGGCGGGTGAGGAGTGGCCCAAACTATTCTCACAAGAGTGTGGGGGGCGGGTGAGGAGTGGCCCCTTCCATTCTCACAAGAGTGGGGAGGAGAGTGGCCAGTACCAGTTTCATGGGGGGAGGAGAGTCCCAACTGCAGGAGGAGCAGGACGGAGTGGGGGCAGGGAAGACAGCGGTGGGGCAGGAAGGGCAGTGTAAGTGCCCCACCCTGGGTGCAGAGGGGGACGCCATCAGCTCTCTGCACCCTCCCCTCCGGGGACACTTTCCCCACATCTGGGCCATCCGGCTCCACTGTGTCCCTGCAAAACCGAGCCGTTCACCGTCCAGGGGCAACACCAGCAATAGTGGGGGGGCGG